GGCGGCGCGTGTACTCCAATTTCAGGGGACACACTTAATATTACGAAACTCTTTACACTTTTTTTGCGTAGAGTAATTGTTGCTATGTAAAATATTAAGAGAACACACCTGATCCCACCTTTTTTGCATATTTCAGGAATCATCCAAAAACCGGAGAAGAAACAACGTCTTGTGTACAAATTTTTACCTCCATACAATCTGTGATTACGTCTTTCGCGCGACGTCGAAAACGACGACGACAATGAAGACGTGAACGAAAACGAAGCCAGCGGCACCGTTTGTCGATCGAATCGCCTGTGTCGCACCGTACTGCCAGCCAATGTCTTGCCAAATTAGCGCCAGCGCCCTTCTTGCCGATGATGATGACGTCATATGACGTCATAATCCTCCTCACTGCTTCGTCTCCTTCTTCTATCGCTTCTGCATGTTGTGTGCGTGTGTGTGTGTTTCACTATATCTACAGCGATATATCATCGTGTAATGTTCGTTATAGAACATTTTCTCCCCACAACTTAGTTCACATCCCCCGCCTTAATATCATTTATGCACCCAGCACTTGGCAGTCTAATTAAAAAACAGATTGGGTCAAAATTTAGAGTGTATCTGTACCCCGAGGTTGGGATACTTGTGCATAAAATAGCTCTAAATCTTGCTCCAACCTGTATATACTTCCGAAAGTATAATCTAGCAACCGGTACCGTCCGTTCGAGTGTCCTTAAACATATTCAATTGCTCTATCCCTATGTCCACATGTTCATACTAATTATTTCCATTAAATTGGTCTCTGCGCTGAGTTGAGAGAGTTTCATGCTCAGTTCATTCACTTAATCACTTTTAAACGGCAATATTCTTTCACTACATGGTTCGATACAATTCTATGTGCAATCATATCGCCCACTCTCCCTTCAATTTGTGTGTGACACTCGGTGTTGAACAACGTGCAATTATTACCGCAATGTGATAATCATTACTATCATTATTATTTATACCAATAAATATTAATATCATACTTGAATAAAGCTAG